TACTAGGGGCTCCTGGCCTGACTACTAGGAACAAGAACGCTACTAGGAGCTTCTTTTACCTTTGGACCTAAGAATGAATTCTTTTACTTTTCTCCAAAGTCGAGTCGATCGAGTGGATAGATTCTGGATAGATTGCAGGTCCTACGCTGAGCCTGAGTTTCGGGCCATTGGACACCATGTATTCACTGGCGGCAAAATCTGAGACCTTCGAAGCTGAGTTTGAGAGTCGTCGAGATCTCCGTTTCAAAGAAATCACAGAGATTCTTCATTCAAAAAGCGGACCTCAACGGACCGCTGTCCATACTCGTTGTCCCAGCCGTAGCTTGGGAAGTCTCTGGGCCTTGAAATTGGCTCTTGGATTTCGTGTATCTATTAGCTTCTTGTTTGGCCAGGAGCCCCTAGTAGCTATGAAAACAATATAGCCATAAAAAATGCGTTGAAAACGGCAAAGAAATCCTTCTGTGTATGGGCCATCGCTAGTAGGTTGGAGGCCATCGCCATTGGGATGGAGGCCATCGCTATTAGCAATCTTTTCCACGCACTTCTGAGACTGAAACTTTCCAAGTTTCACAGTCTGGCCCTTCACCTTTAGCATTTCATTTCGAGGCAGCTCCTGGCGAAATCTAGCATCACGGTGCATCATTGCCGGTTGCACCCGCGACTCGTACGCTGAGAGGGCGTGGCCGTGACATTTTTCAGACCGCTTCACCATTTGTCGAGTCGATGTCGAGTATACCTGTAGGCATACACAGAAAATGATAGGGGCAGATTCTTACAGTCCAACGGAAGTGCTTATAGACTAGAACAGACAGGCCGAGCTTGCTGTTCATGTCGAATCTGGCCCCTTCACAAGTTGTGTGAGATTGGATCTACATGGCGTTGCGGCAGGGCAAATGCAGTTCAAGTTGGGTCTGACTTGAACTTGCCTGCCCTCCAGACACAGAAAGCTTCTGTAATGCATTCATAAAAGCCTAGGCTTTGAAGATTTACGGGTCGATCTGCCGCAACCCAATTTAGCTTGGAAGCTCCAACCAGCAATTGTTCGGAAGTGAGAAATCCTGAGCATCAAATGTTGAAAATCTGCTCCAAGCCGTCAAAAGATGGCAGCATGGGGTCGGATTTCCGAGCTCATGCGCCGGAAAAAACCTCTCAGGTTGTGTTGTAGGGTGCTCTTAGCCCAGGCGAGTCTTTCGAGAATGAACGAGAGGCAAGTCTGAGGTGATGATAGTTGGCTTTCTTGAAGACCTTCGCTGCAGAATTTATACCCAAACGAAACCACGAAAATTTATAATGCAAATGTCAAAAACAATTGGGCAAGGCACATCACTCACCATTTTTTGTTGTGAGGATTGCTCTGACCGTAGCAGTGCAAGCACCTCCTCGAACAGCATTTCAACCTCAAACAGTCAAGCGATGTCTGCTTAAGCATCTTAAGCATCCTTGCTTACTCTGCTTGCTTTCAGCGAATTCACGTTCACCATGCGTCTTTCTTTGTGTTCAGACTTTTGATGTTCTTGCCTTTAAAAAAGATAAACACCCTTAAGAAGACCCTTTTGCTTTTCTCTTGTTTTTCTTTTACTTTTCAGTCCCTTACTTCCAAGACGCTTTCGTCTCAATGCGCCAAACATCCAAAGCTTTGGCTCCACCACGAAGACGTGTGGCCCCTTCCAAAAACTCCATGAGACTCAGCGGAGCAACGCGTAAGGCGGGTAGGGACTAAAGAGGGACTCGTTTGTGAAAGAACAATCGAATTACCTCGAATTACAAACAAAATCACAAAGATTCTAAGCTGTTAAGAACCTTGTCTTTGGTGCAGCTCACTCGCTCAACACCCACCATGCACAGCATCCGCAGGACAATGATTTGACATGTTTTTGCAACATTTTCCAAGGCACGTGATCTCACCGTCTCCATTATCAAGAAATTCGAATAAACCCATTAAATCGTGATACTCCAACTCCTGGGCTGAAAAGAAAAGAATATTACATTGGAAAACCTTGGACAGCAACAAATCCCCAACAGCTGGGCATAAATTTGCTGATTAAGAAATGATAAGACATGTGGCAGTTGTCAAAAAACGTGCGACGTCTGCAAGTTTATTACTAAGTGGTGTGTGTGTGTGTGTTTGCGGCAATACATCAGTGTAGCACATGTGCCCGCATATGTGCAAGCATGACAACACCGCAACAAGCAAAACCAGAGAACCTCGGAACCGGCTTTGCAGCCCCTAGTAGCGTCCATGCTTTTAGTAGCGATGCCCTTTGCTCCTAGTAGCGTCCTTTCTCCTAGTAGTAAGGCCAGGAGCCCCTAGTAGCGTCCATGCTCCTAGTGAAAGGTTGCGCCAGTATGACAACCTATCAGCATGACAATTTGTCAGTGTGACCCCACGCCAGCAGTTGGAGGCCATCCCTAGTATGTTGAAGGCCATCGCTATGAACCGTCTCAACGTGTCTACACCGCTGCGTGACAGCATTGTAGCTAAACAACAAACCAACAGTACGCCACGTCAGATTATCGGCGTGGCAACACCTTAGTGTGTCAAAAATATAACACGTTAGCAGGCAAGCACAAGCCGCATGGTAGCCTGATGGCATGTCAACATGTCCGTGACAGGCCAGCATCACGACATGTCAGCATTGTGCCGTGACAAATTTGGTTTGCTGGCATCGCTACTGAACTAACAACAAGAAGCTACTAGGGGCCCCTGGCCTTACTACTAGGAGCAAGGACGCTACTAGGAACAAAGGGCATTAGGAGCAAGGACGCTACTAGAAGCAAAGGGCACTAGGAGCAAGAATGCTACTAGGAGCAAAGGGCACTAGGAGCAAGATGCTACAAGGAGCAAAGGGCACTAGGAGCAAGGACGCTACTAGGAGCAAAAGGCACTAGGAGCAAGGACGCTACTAGGAGCAAAGGGCACTAGGAGCAAGGACGCTACTAGGAGCAAAGGGCACTAGGAGCAAGGACGCTACTAGGAGCAAAGGGCACTAGGAGCATGGACGCTACTAGGAGCAAAGGGCACTAGGAGCATGGACGCTACTAGGAGCAAACGGCACTAGGAGCATGGACGCTACTAGGAGCAAAGGGCACTAGGAGCATGGACGCTACTACTAGGAGCAAAGGGCACTAGGAGCAAGGACGCTACTAGGGCCAAAGGGCACTAGGAGCAAGGACACTACTAGGAGCAAAGGGCACTAGGAGCGTGGACGCTACTAGGAGCAAAGGGCACTAGGAGCATGGGCGCTACTAGGAGCAAAGGGCGCTAGGAGCAAGGACGCTACTAGGAGCAAAGGGCACTAGGAGCATGGACGCTACTAGGAGCAAAGGGCACTAGGAGCGTGACTAGGAGCAAGGACGCTACTAGGAGCAAAGGGCACTAGGCGCAAGGACGCTACTAGGAGCAAAGGGCACTAGGAGCATGGACGCTACGAGGAACAAAGGGCACTAGGAGCGTGGACGCTACTAGGAGCAAAGGGCACTAGGAGCAAGGACGCTACTAGGAGCAAAGGGCACTAGGAGCAAGGACGCTACTAGGAGCAAAGGGCACTAGGAGCAAGGACGCTACGAGGAACAAAGGGCACTAGGAGCATGGACGCTACTTGGAGCAAAGGGCACTAGGAGCATGGACGCTACTAGGGGCTCCTGGCATCGCTACTAGGCCTACCGTAGAGCCCTGGACAATTCGATGTTCCAGACCCGTTCCACTTGACACAGGCGTAAGGCCGGCACCAATTGTCCGAGCCAAAAGTTCAGCATTGGATCCTTCACCAGCTTCGAAAATTCATCCTCCAAGTTCAGAGGTTGACAAAATCGTCAGCAGAAGCATCATAAACTGGTTCCCCAAACAGTCTGGATGAGCTCCGCATCCGTTCCAATGGATTTCTTTGGTTCTTTCTTAGGCCAGTAGGTTGGAGGCCATCGCTCTTAGAAACAAAGAAAAAGGAAGAAAGGCCCCTGTCCTTGTTGATCAATCCGTCTCCAGACTCATCTACCGTTCTGAAGAGTTTCTTGACCTTTCGAGTGAATAGTTCCAGATCCTGATCCACGCTTGGAAGAAGAAACACTCCTCACGAATCGACAAAAAACTAGAACCTTCATTTGCTGTACAACCAAGGCGGCCCAGGTGCTCTTTCTTTCTGTTTGAAGGCGAGTTCTTCATCAGAGCTTGCAGTTTTCATGGTCTGCTGCACAAAAACCTGCGCCAAGCCAGATTTGCAGTCTGCATCAGATTGAAGTTGGCCAAAGGTGAGTGGCGCTGAAGAGTTTGCCAAGATGCCGCGTTCACCACATTCAGAACAGCAAAACCCAACAAGCACCTGGAGAGGCACCAGAGCAACGCAAAGCATGAGACATGATGAAAAAGCAAAAACAAATGCCAATATTGGGGCATACATATATCCAAAAAGGGATGGCCTCGAACCTTATAGCAATGGCCTCCAACCTACTAGCAATGGCCTCCACCACGCATATCATATACGTATACTTATCTTCTATATACGATATGTTCTTGGAGTCGTGTTGAACATGTCCACGCCGCCGGGCCTGTAGATCAAGAAAAACACTGCGAAGGATTCGCTGACTTCATCCACCAAGATTCGGCAAGGCGGGCTCCAATTGGCGAAAAGGATCTCAAACCTGGCTGCAGCGCGCAAAATTCAGGTTGAAGACGGCTTCTCAGCAGCCGCCCTCACCGCAGCACCAAAGCGCTGCTTTTAGCTCCAATCATAGCGCTCGCGCAGCAGCAGCAGCAGCAGCAGCAGGAGAGAGAGAGAGAGAGAGATGTAAAATTCATCAGCTGTTTGTTTCACGTTTGGCCACGTCAGTGTTTTCCTCTGGCAATTGTCCTTAGGCTCAAGGCCTTTGATCCAAGGTGCATTGTGAAGCACCAAGCCATTGTACATGAACACTACGACGGAGTAAACATGCAATTGTACAAAAGATTGTCTCTTGACACCGTCCCTTGGTTTGGTTCATTGTTGAACCACACCATCTCTATAAACATTGTTGAAGCTGGAAAGAAACATTATTGTACATAAAGCAGTTCAAACATTGTTGGCAAGTCTGTACAGCTCTTCTCTGCATCATCGTCTCTCCGGCATTGTTGCCTTCTCTCGTCGTGGTGCTCGTAGCGCGCCTAGGCATTGTCTTTGCCAGAGATCTGCAAATTGTTGGACTATTGTTCTAGCCCTGCGTGTCCTCCATGTTGTCATCTTGAGATTGTCGGGGACGCTTTGCCCCTTTCTCTTCTTCTCCTTCTGACATCTCCACCTCGATTGTACGCGCTCGCCCTTTGATGTACTTGCTACGGTCAGGATGACCGCGCTGTTGTCTCTTGGGAATTGTCACACGGTAGGTGTCAATCCCCTTCTCAGCCTTGTATTGTCCCAAGGCCCATCGTACACCTTCCGAAATTGTGACTGGCCTATTGTCCCAAGTGCGTCAGAGCCATTCCCAAGATTGTATGGTGAGGTGAATCTTCTGAGATTGCCAGCGTTGTCTTCACATGCATTGCATGGCCATAGTTCTAAATCCATCCATTGGACCAATTGTATCGGTCAAATTCGTTGGCTGCGTTGTAGTTCAAATGCAGTGCTCGCACATTGTTCTTCTCAGCCTCAGTGAACCTGCAATTGCGCGGCGCGTGCACTTGCGCGCTGTGGCCACGTTGGAAGGAAGATAGTTTCTTCCCTGCCATGTGATGCGCCATACTGTGGAGATCAAAGCTGATAGCCAGGACTATTGTTTGATCATTTGTCATTGTGTGCCCCATTGACTCTTCAGTGGTGGGCAACATGATGAATTGTTCCCAATTGCCTGGCTTCCTCAGGCTCCCGGGCAACTTGTCGGTCTCATTGTCCTCGTTCAGCATCATTGTATACTCCACCTTTGTCACTGCCGCGAACCAGTATGTGGAGATATTGTCCAAGACGTCACACCACGGACTGTCCTTGTAGTTGGGCGGCAAGATGACTTGGCTCTCTACATTGTCCTCATTGTACAGGACTGCTCGATCCTCCCACAAAGAAATTGTTGAATTCGCGGGAAGTCGGTGCTGATTGTGGTAGTCCGGAATTGGCATCTCCACGGCCATTCTTGTTGAGATTTTCCTCCAAATAGTAGATCCCGGTTGTCAGCGCTTGTGAGCAGGGAAGCGGCTGCGGTCGAAAGAATTGTTGACAAATTGTCAACTGAACATGCATTGTCTTTCTAATTCAAAAGGCAAAACTTCAAACACAATTGTTCATCGCATTGTTCTCCGAAAAGACGGAAAGAAAAGTCGGATCCATTGTGAAACTGAAACCTTGTAGCGCATATTGTTTATGACCTAGTATGCACATAGTAGCTAGAATAGTGCGCCATGGCTTGATGCCCCCCGCGTGTGTATTGTACACGCATGGACGCTGCCATGGTTGTGAAGCTGTTCTGAACGGCCGTTGTTCAGTTACAGTTGTGGTGTTGCGGGCATTGAATGCCCGCCATGTAGAGGTGTTTGTTAAGCACCTCTGCCGGGACATACTTTGTCAGTATGTCTGCTGGGTTGTCACGCGCGCTGATCTTGCGTATTGATAGGATCCCGCTTTGTACCAGTTGTTGTATGAAGAGGTACTTGAGGTCAATGTGTTTTGCTTTCTTTGATGAGCTAATTCTTGTCGCTATGCTCTTTCCGCCTGCGCTGTCGGTATGTATGCGAATGTTCACCTTTGTTGTTGTTGCTTCCTTGATGAAGTTTGCAATATGTAGTCCTTCTTGCGCTCGTACCAATTGCATAAAGCTCTGATTCTGCTGATGATAGTGCTACTACTGCTTGTGTTCTGCTTCCAACTTGTACCACGGACCCCATCATTGTCACGATGAATCCACTTGTTGATTTCTTTGCGCTTGGGCGTCCTGCCCAGTCCGCATCGACATAAATGTTGAGGTCGACGTGTTCCTTTGTTTGTGGTGTGTGCATTGTCCTCAAGATCATTTTGTAGTGTTGTGTTCCCCTGAGGTATCGTAAAAGACGCTTCACCTTGCGTAGGCTATGCTGCGTTGGTTGTTGTAAGTCTCGCGCCAGTTCTTTTGTTGCCCCGCTGATGTCTGGTCTTGTGTAGGTCAGCCATTGTAGCTTTCCTACTGCTCTCCTCTAGTCTGCATGTTCTTGCCCGTCCAAAGGTGCATCATCGTTTGTGGATTGTTTCAGGGTTGCCGTCCCTGGAGCTGATGCTGGATTGCTTGTTTCCATTTTTGTTTCCTTCAACAATGTTGTGATGTATTCTGGCTTGAGGCTCACTTCAAAGTAATCTCCATTGTTGTGGATGTCTCTGCCTAAGAACTGGATTGTTTGACCAATTCCCAGTGTGCCAGTTGGTCGTGGTAGTACATGCTTTTGTACTTGTTTGAAAGTCTTGTCGACTTCTTGTTGTTGTCCCAAGAATAGTAGGTCATCTACATAGACCATCGCAAACATTTTCTGTTCATTGTTTCTGTACACGTTGGGTTCACTTGTCAGTCGAGACAGTCCCATTTGTTGTAGGACTTGCGCAAAGTGATCCTGCCAAGATTTAGGACTTGATCGTAGTCCATAGATTGCTTTGTTGAGCTTCCACACTGTGGTTGTGTTGTGACCACTTGGGTATAGTTCTGGCGGTGGTCACATGTAGAGATTGTCTGTTGCAGGAATGCTGTTGACACATCTCCTGCTTGTATTGCCCAGTGGTTGCGCTGCGCCATTGTCAGTAGGATACGTAAGATCCCAAAGATTGGCGCGCTTGCATAGATGTTGTCAAGGTCTTGGATTGTTTCCAGCAGCATCGCACTTCATCTTGTTTGGGTTTGTTAACCCACTTGGATTCTATGATCTTATTCTTGTGTTCTTCAGGGATGTCATTGTAGTTCATCTCTGTGAACACTCCCTGCGCCTTCATCGATTGCGCTTCTTTCTTCATTCCTTGTTCTACTTTCAGTGGATCGATACCTTCATTGTCGTAGGCAAAAGGTTCTTGTAGCATCCTTTCCACGTCTGCTTCTTGTTCGTCTTCACAGGATGCTGTGGTGATCTTGTCACCTTTCTTTGTGGCGATTGTCACAGCTTGTATTCTCACGTTTGCTTTTGGTTGTTCTTCATCTTGTCCTCGGCTTGCTGCCGTTGAGGACTGCGCTGTCTTCGATTGTTTGGATTGCGCTTCACCTGTAGGCTCCTCATAGTGTCTCTTGCTTGTTGGAGGCATTGGCAGTGGTGGTCTTGTCACTGATGCTGGTGATGTTGCCATTGTTGCATCCATTGGTCGATGATGTGTTGCTCCTGCTGGTAGTGCCAATGGTGTATCTTGTGGTGTCTGTGTACTTGTCTTCTACTGTAATGTCGGCTTGTGTGCCAATTGCTTGTCTGCTAGCGTTGTTGTCAGCTGGAAGAAACAATTTTAGTGGAATTGCCATTGGTGAGGTTGGCAAGTTCCATGGATACACATTGATCGTATCCAGTAGTTGCTTGTCGTACTTGTCTGGCATGATCTGTCTTCGTATTGTTCTTGCTCTGATGACCTTGCCAGGGATGCCAACTATTGACTCTCCGGTCGTTGTATCTCTGCCAAGCCAGATTCCTTTGAAGAATCTTGGTTCCATCTTGGGCTGTGCTTTTTGTTGTTGGGATCATGCGTTGTACTGTTTCTGCCATCTCGCATAGCGGGGCTTTGTGATCCTTTTGCCATCGTCTTTGGTAACTTGTTTGTCCGTCATTGCGCATGGCATACCTGTTCAGTAGCCATGCCGCACGCCGCACAATCCACGGCATGATCGGTTGTTGTACGCTCAATAATTGTAGCTTGTGGTTACTTGTTGTACCAGTGCTCGTGCTCGGACTCAAGGTGCGATGGAATCGTTCAATGCTTCCTTGTGATTGTGATGAATACGCCGGTGATTGTCGGATGTTGACGTTTCCGAGCCTTTGTGCGACGGCCTTCAATAGGTTCTGTATGTACTCTTCCTGATCTGATTGCAGTGTTGTGGTTGATAGTGTTGCTTGCGCTCGTCCACACTCGAACATGAATGTTTGTAGGCATCGTATCAGGTATTGTTGTTGTTGGTTCTTGTCTTGTACAAGAACTGCCATTGCCATACCTGATTCGACATCTATTGCCGTCAGTACTGGTAGTACTTGTTTGTCTCCACATGCTTTCACGTATGTGAAGTCCACTTGTATCACTGGTTGTTTGCTTGCTTGTCTTGGACGATTGTCTGCTCTTCCTTTGCTGTTGACACATCTTGGGCACCATGAACGGTACGGCAAATGCGTCAGCAGAGTTCAAGCCTTTCTTGTCTTGTTGGTTGTTGTGGCGCCTTCATTCCTTTGGCGCGTTGCGCTTGTTGAGGTTCATCTTCATTGTCCGTGTCGTACTCGTATTTGTATTGTACCTCTTCCTCGAAGTTTGTTGATCCAGTCCATTGTCTGTCGAGCGGTCTTGCTCCTGATTCGTGCCAGTTGTCACTGATTGTATATCCTCTTCCTTGTTCCGTTCTGTTCGCGAATGTTGTCCTTGTCGCTTTGAGTCGTGAAATGTCTGGACCATCGTCTGTTTGTTGCGGTACGTACATTGTCGTCCGTACTTGTACGTGAACACGTTTCCAATAGTGTCCTTCTCTGATCCAATAGTCTGTTGTTGGCGTCATTGTGGATGGATCAGGTATTGCCGTAGTTGTTGGAGCTGGCTTCTTTGTTGTGTGTGTCGGAATAGTGGATCTCTGCTGACCTGCTGCGTTGTCCCGTCTTGTTCCGGAAGCTGTAGTGATGTTGGCTGTTGTCGCACTTGAGGTGCCTGTCGTGCTTTCTCTGTCTTCGAAGTTGTAGTCGCCGGTTGCGCTGGCGGCTTGTTCACTCTGAACCATGTTTCTCCTGTCCATGTATCTCCTTGTATCACGCGTCGTTGTTCATGCTTGCTCAAGTCATGGTATTGTTCTACAAGAGCCTCGCTGTTTCCGTCTGTTTGTCGGACGATTGTTCGTCTGTAGTTGCTCAATGTCTCCAATGGTATTGGGCACTTGTCGCCAGGAACGAAGAGAGCCTTCCTCTTGTTCCGGTGATACCGTACAAGGTATCCTCCATTGTTATAGTTCCAATAGTCGCTGTTGCCTCCAAGGACTTGTTGTGGTCCATGTCTTGTCAGTGTTGTTGGGGCAGTCATTGCAATCATGCCCTTTGTGTATGTCTCAGCTGTAGCTGTTGATGTTGTCCCAGGTCCATGATTGTCGCTGGCAAGTAGTAGAGGTTGCGCTGTTGCATCAAGGGAACATTGAATCCCTTGTCATGGCGCATTGTGGGGGTGTCGTTGAACCTGCTGTCAAAGCCTTGTTCTGCCAGTCTTGTCACTGACAGAATTGGGTCATGACTGTCACACACATGGAAGGGTATGACACTGGGTTGTCCTCGAGATTGCATGTAGACCCATCTCACGCTATAGCATTGTATTGTCTTGTTTGTCACTGTCCTGAGGTTTGGGCTTTGCGCTTGGTCGATCTTGTACACGGGATAGTTGTCTGCGAACCATAGTGGGCAGACATGTGTGGCTGCTCCACTGTCGATCACGCTGTGTAAAGTGTCTGTTGTACCGCTGTTTGTTGTAGCTGACTTGTGGTCATTGCCATTGCTGATCATGGCGATGACATGGATTGGTGTCATATCGTGGTTGCTTGTGGATGGAATTGGCGGAAGTGCCAATGGCTGTTGTGCCTGTTGTTGTCTTGAGTAGTCCTGAAAGTACCATCCATTGTCATAGTAACTATCATAGTAGTCGTCGTACCATTGTGTTGTCGCGTCCTCAAGGTCATTGCCTTCTCCTTGTCCAATGTTGTGTATTGCCACTCGGCAGTCTTTGGCATCGTGTCCTGTTCGTCCACATCTGTAGCATGTGTCTGTCGCGTGTTTTCCTTTGTTCTTTCCTTTGCCTGTGTTGTATCCTTTGTTGAATCCTTTGTTTCCTTTGTTGCCTCTTCCGAATGGGTTGCCGAATCCAATCGGGATGTTGTTGTAGTTGTTGAATCCTTTTCCTCCATACTTTCCTGTCCCTCTGTAGTTGTTGTTGTAATTGTTGTAACCGTAGCCGTTGTATCCTCCGTAGCCCTTGCCTTTGTTCTTTCCCTTTCCTTTACCCTTTCCTTTGTTCTTGTATTTGCCTTTTACTTTGTGGATTGCATCAATGTCCATAGGTGCTTGTCCACCAGCGAAGTTTGTTGCCACGCTGGATGATTGTGTTCGTAGTTGCTGTAGTTTGCTAAATGCTGTTGTTGATCGATAGTACTCGATGATTGTTTGCTTGACTCGTGCATCGTTTGGGCTTTGTCCTGAAAGCAGTTGCAAGTGTTGTTGTAGTGGTCCACTTGTTTCATTGAGCAGTACTGCTATCTTCACAGAATCTGGTAGTGCTTGTCCATTGTCTCGTTCAAATCGTTGTAGATCAAATTGTTGAGAATGATTCTTCAAAGTTGTTCTTGTCGAATGTGGCTTCAATAGTCTTGTGAGGTGTCCAATGGATCTTGTGCCCAATGGAATGGAGAAGCGGATGCACAATTGTCGGTACATCTCGAAGCCAATTGTATGTTGATATTGTCTGCATACGGTTGCTGCTGCTCCTGCTGTTGTATTGATGGGGATGTACCTCAAATCTGTGCTGAGAGGAACATGTCGTTCACCATCTTCACTTGTTGATTCTGCTCGTAACTGTATCTCTGTGAGTTCTGCTGTGGCTAGTTCTGCTGCTAGTAGCAATTCTGTGTAGTCGTTGTCTTGCAATCCCATGTATGCTGTGAACTTGCACTTCCATTCTTCGAACGTGCCATAGTCTCCTTTGAAGAAGGGTGGTTTGAGTTTGTATCGGTTCATGTTTGCCATGTTTGTTATTGTCTCATCTTCTGGGACTGGAGGCAGGTGTTCTCCTCCAGCTGGAGCTGCTGTCATGGCTGCCATTGTTGCAGCTGTTCAAGCTACCTGTTGTAGGGTCAAGGCTTGTTCTCTGTTGTCTGTGTTTGTGTATGCTTGTCCTTGTTGTTGTATTGGAGCTCACCTGGATTGTTGTTACCAGGATCCTTGCTCCGCTACCATGTAAAATTCAGCAGCTGTTTGTTTCACGTTTGTGCACTTCAGTTGTATTGTTTTCCTCTGGCAATTGTCCTTAGGCTCAAGGCCTTTGATCCAAGGTGCATTGTGACCAAGCCATTGCACATGAACACTACGATGGAGTAAACATGCAATTGTACAAAAGATTGTCTCTTGACAAGAGAGAGAGAGAGAGAGAGAGAGAGAGAGAGCGCTACTAGAAGCTACTCGAGAAAAACCAAATAAAAGGTTGAAGGTGATGACCGCTTATCAGCAGCGAGCCCCACGGCGGGGAGAACGGCACTTGCGAGGAGACAATTTGTTTGTTGTTGGCTCTGCTCTTGTTTTGGACCCCGGCCAGGAAAGAACAAGAGCTGTCAACTGTAAAGAAATATTCAAACCCTCAAGGCACCTCATGGCTTCGAGGATTCCAAAAAGACCCTCCCCAAAACTATAAACAATTATACAAAAAAGATCAAACCCCAACAGCCCAAGCCCACAAGCCCACATTGAGGTGGTGGCGGTGGCAGGCCAGTGGGGTCTCAAAGTTTGTCCATGTCCGTCTCTCGACTGCTCGGTCAGGCTCGCTCTTCTTTGGCTTGTTTTCTGTGGAGGATCACGTCTGTAGAGAAAGCGGGTTTGATTCAGTCCTACGGTCCTACGGTACCACACACGGTGAAATTACGGACAAGTTTCATGAGGGTGGAGGCTATTGGGGTGGAGGCCATGGCTATTAGGTTTTATGAAGAACAGCAGCACGTCATGTCTTTGGCAACATCCCGGTGTCTCTGACGGGAAAGTGAACCCTTGGAGTGCCTGCTTTGTGCACCGAAACTGCAGATTTGGGCAACCCACTAGTAGCGTGCTTGCTCCTAGTAGCGATGCCAGGAGCCCCTAGTAGCGTCCTTGCCCCTGGCAAAGGCGAATTCGTGAATTTGGAGTGGCGTAGTGCACAACCCTTTCCGAAACAACAACTCACAAGAACTAGTACTAGTTGTAGTAGCCAACCTCAGGGGCAGAGGAGCACTAATGGCAATAATTTGGCAATAATGATAGTGATTGATAGTGAATAGTAGTGGTAGTACTGTTTGTACTAGTCATAGCACGACCGAAAAACCCTTGCAAGATAGCTCGGCTTTCTCCACTACGGATGCTTGCACACCAAGAGTTCAGAAGAAGACAAGTCATAGAAGAAAAGTTGGCAGTCGAGACAGTAGATGACAAAAGTATTCAAATCTGCAAGCAACGAACGACCTTGAGCCCCCGCCACACCAAGCTCTTGCCTTGCCTATCTTGGAAGGAGCAGGGTGGGGTTCTGCGGAGAAGTTTATCTACAGTACTGTCACGGGAAATGCGAGAAAGATAGTTCTTCCGAAACCTTAACATCATGATGTACCAGCTACAAGAAACTTGTAGATCTAGCATTAGTACCAGTCAGTCGTAGTAGCAGTAGCAGTAGGAGAAGCAGTAGGAATAGCAGTTGCACTTTCAGTAGCAGCAGTAGCAGTAACAATAGTAGTGACCTAGTAGCGGTAGCTCAACACGACCTTATGCCCCATGCTAGGGACAAAGATTGGAACCGCCACCCCAAAGAATGAAAAACTGTGCGTGTTGGAATTGCAATCGACACGAGATGGAAGAGCACAGCATGACACAGTTCGGAGCCAAGTAAGGCAAAGTACGCTGGGCAACTGTGCTATCCTGTGTAGAGCCAAAATTGCGAAGTGCCATCTGTATACAACAGCTTTGTATGGTCCTGTTAGTGTTTTCTCCGGCGTATGTCTGTGTCTGCGCCGTCTGTCTTTGCTGTGCATCTTCGTTGTAGCTTCTTGCTTATAGTAGTACGGCCAGGAGCCCCTAATAGCATCCTTGCTCCTAGTAGCGATGCCCTTGCTACTAATAGCTTCTTGTTACTACTAGTAAGGCACTTCTTACTAGAAGCGTGCCGGGGTTCCTCAAGAATCCAGGCAAATTGTAGAAATGCTACATCAAACAGTGTGTGCACATGTGACACTGAGAACACAAGAAGTAGTCGAACATACAAATTTGTTACAATCATGTTTACAATCCTGAATCAATCAGTAAAAAGTTTGTCCAAGATGCATTGACAAGAAAGTGCGGGTGAAGGTCCCATAGTAGAGCCAAACAGATCGTCCTTGGAGGCTGTCAAGAACCTTTTCAAGAACAGCAAGTTTCACTAGATTTTCCCACAAAAAATGTATCTACTTCTCCGCAATGGCATGGTTGCAGGCACATGCATATATACTTGTTTTCTATACTGTGGGTGTTGCCTAATGGCTGTAACAGTGAGCACAAACCAGAGCACCATTTTTGCACGGTGAAAAACGTCAAAAAACACTCCCACCCAACCAAAGTATTCGATTCTTTTTAGCCCTGGCTAAGCAAAGCTGTCCATAAAGTCACGGCCTGCCAGGAGTCAGGTTGGTCAAGAATTACCCTACACTTGTCCCAAGGTGCAAGAGTTCTGGCACAACTGTTACAAAAACAAAAGCACACGAAACCTTTTTCTGCCAACAATTGGTGCTGCGTGTTTCGGCTTTCCAAGGCGAGGGCTTCAAAGAGTGGTTGAACACAGAAGATTACTTTGTTGAACTCATGATGAAAGAACATACATGCTGTCTTTTGTTCTTGGTTGTTCTTACAGTCTTACTTACATGTTACAACCTTGCGTTCCCTCGCTTGGGTTAGATCCCTAGACCTTTTTGGTCTGTCAAATCTGAGCCAGCCAAAATCTGACCAGCCACTTCCAAACAAAACATTGGTTGACTAGAGGTTGTGTTGGGACTGGCTGGAAGCAAAAAGAACTAAAAAAGAATAGCATCAGCATCAACATTCCAAGAAGAACCCAAAACTGTCATCATCAACACTTCTTTCACAACATTGAGGAATTTAGCTGAAAGACAAGTAGTCACACGGGCCGGTAGAGCTGGACTTAGCAGATCTGACACTTGTCAATTGGAAAATTGCAAAGACGCATTTCCCACGGACAAAAATGCTTTGAGAGAAGCAGGGAGCACACGTGGCAGGCTGCAGCCAAGTGAAGATCCCCTGCCCAACAACAACACAGGTTCGTTTACTTTGACCTATTTTTCCAAGAAGGGCTGCAGCCTGGCACAGCACCACCTCAGTCCACTGTGCTCATGCAGTGGCTGCCTCCTCCTGGAGCCACTGCATCAGCGCTTTTGAAACTGTGACGCCGTTGCGCTCAAGCGTCTTGCGATACCTCAGAAAACAAAAGAACACGAATGCGTTCACATGGACCATGCAAAAGAACCACAGAGCAACTTGCAATCCCCATCGCGAAACGTTGACTCTGCTTGCGCGCGTGCGCCGAAAACATAGTTGCCAGAGAATTGCTGGCTGGGTCCCTTTGATGCCAAGATGCTCGCGGCACAATGCCGAGCGCTCCACTCGGTTCCTGTTGGCAAAGCGGTGGAACAGGAGGTTGAGGCCGTGCACACTTGACGCGTACACCTTCACTTTCTGCAGCTTGGTGCTCAAGGCCTTGACCTGGCCACACTGACTCTGGGTCAGCCAATTGTCAATTGGCAAGCTATCCAGAGCAGCACACGCGCCCTGGAAGTCCTCCAGGGATCCCACACAAGCCTCGTGCGTAGACTTCTCAAACACCAGCTTGCGCAGGCGCTGCTGGTTTCGCCCGACCACCAGCGCCTCCACGTCAGGCTGGCTGTTCACAGCCTCTGTCACCAGGGCCTGGAGCTTGCCGATCACGCGACCGAACAGCAGACTCAGGACGTGCTTGCAAAGCCATGGCCTGGCGCCACCGTCCAGCATGCTCTGGTCAGCCTTGACCAGCATCTCCTGCAAAGTCTGAACGCACTGTCGGATCTGCAGGGCGCTAGGGTCCTCGCCAAGGCTGGCCAGGGTCTCAGCACAGGTGCAGCCGTAGTACCGAAGAAGGTCGTTGCCAAAGTCAATCTTGGCAGAATTGGTGATGTCCTTGAAGTTTTCTCCACCAAGGTGCGCCAATGTCTCAGACATTGTGATCAAGGAGTCCATGAAGCTTGGCACTCGTTCCAAAAGCTACAGCACCTTGTCCACCATTCAGGCTTCACGTCTGCAATTGCAGGCAAAAAGTCGGTGTGCTGGGCACGCTCCTGGAAGAAAGCCTGCTTGCAAAGCAATTGGCCCTCCAACCTCTGCTTCATGCTTTCCAAAATTGAGGGGATGCAATCTGTGACCACTTCGGTGGCCTTCTGAACGAAGGCTTGGCACTCCAGCCCCAAATCCGACCACTTGGATGTCACTTGAGAATTGAAGTCTTGCCACGCATGGCAAAACCTGTCAAGAGCTTGAGAGATTTCAGTCATGGCTTCAGTGCCTGCTTCGCGAGTGAACTCCGGCAGATTGTTTTGCCACACGCCGAAGCTTCGGCCTGGGCCATCAGTGATGGCCCATACGCCCAGGAATGCTGTTGCCAAGGCAGCCTCGGCCGGCCAAACAGACAAGAAGTGACACCGCATCAGGGCTAGCGATCAAACAACAACATGAAAGCTGCCTATTGAAAAAGTTGGTGTCAACTGTCAACAACATGGAAAGGGTGAGCACAACCTGAAACATGTCTGGCCAATAATTGCCCTAGCGTTGGAAGATTTTGTAGTTTCCATGGGCAAGGCATTCACTAGTTTGGGTGGAGTGATGACCAAAAAGGTGTGCAGGTCGTGAATGGTGAAGCGCTCAACATCCGTCCAACTCCTAACTCAGAAGTGGGCGCAAGCTAGTGGGGTGGCTTTGGGTAAGGTTGTGGCCACTGCGGCTTTCAGAAGCTTGCCTTCAGTGCCTTGGGCTTGCTATTTTTGAGGGGCATGAACAGCCATGTCTAGAAAAATACACTGACTGAAAACACCCTAGGAACAGTGCTGTTCAGGTCGGTCAGGAGCTTTGCCTTGTTGCCCTCCACATTTGGCCCACGCCGCAGCAGCTTCAAAACGCCTTCTTTCCTCAAAAAGGCAGCCATGGTGGCCATGTCCTTGACAAAGTCAGAGGTGGAGAACGTCTGCGTGTGTTCCTTGGTCACCTGGCCTTCGTTCCAGCGATTGAGGAGACTGGTGAGGTCACATGCCTTTGTAAGGCTGTCGATCTTGTCCTCAAGCAAGGTTGCCAAAGCTTGGAGGTCGCCTACCAAGGAGCCCAACTCCAAATCCTCTGTACGTAGGGGCATGTCTGCAACCTGCTCTATGCACTGACAGAACTCTGCGGTGGAGGCAACTGTCTTCACATGCATCAGGACGTCTTCAATCTTAGCAGCTTTCTCACAGCGATCTTGGAGGAAACTGTTGGCGCGGCGAATTGATTCCAACAACTTCTCACCATTTGGCTGGCCATCTCCATCAGCTTCGGCGAAAAGCACTCGAACCATGGGTTCCTTCTTTGCCGCTTCCAAGCCCTGAAGCAAAGTGTCGAAGGTGCTGGCGCCTAGCTGGTCTTCCTCCGCGACCTGCCTCAACAATTGCAAATTGTCAACCGAACTGTTGGGCAAGCCGTTGACCTCCAGGAGCTGAGGCAAGAACTTCTTCCAAAGGGCCATGTGGTCATCCTCAGCCAGCAACTTGGCCAGCAGCAACTCCACCATAGGCTCAATTCTCTCTGGCTGCGGGCAACCGGCAATCCCGTCCATCGCGCCCTGCCAGTTCTTGTTCCCAATCTCCTGCCGATGGATGGAACGCAAAAACATTGCAAACATTGCAGCACTACTCAGTTACATTCAATTGGGCACAATTGGGAATGTAAAGAGTGTGTAGACTTTGCGCTGGGGGCGCAACAATGAGCTATTTGCGGCGTTCAAAACCTTGTGCAGGAGGCCTGTTCAATGAAGCCCTGAGAATTACATCATGTCAGCATTCTGTGGGGGCAGGGATGGCCAGTCAAGCTTGAAGTTGTGGCCGCGATGCAAGAATGGCTTTGCCAAACTAAAGTGCAAGACCGTTTACCATAGATTTAGTCAATTACAAGGCATGGGCGAGGCCAGCAAGTTGCTTCCTTCCTCCATGAACGGGTGGTTTTGGCTTTACTAGATTGAAATTGAAGAGGACCCCCCCGAATCGGAGAACTGAAACAAGAGTTAACAATTGAAGCTTTCTCCAGAAGTGGCAAGCCCCCGAAAAGAAACTTTCAATCAGAACACAGGTTGGGGGAAGGCTTTCGATGGCATCACTTCGGGGTTTTCTCAAAAGATCAAAGAAGCCACTGGCGCTTTCAAAATGACAAAGAACACTTGGGCTATTCAGAGGGGCTTCCAGTGTGGTTATAGGCTCAAAATTGCTTAGTGACACATTTGCCACAAACGAAGTGGCCATACTGGCAGTTATGTGGTGAGGTCATTAGCTTGAACTGGCTCTTTCTTTGGGCGGAGAACATGCGCAGAGGCATACCTGCAGCGCTGAGTGAGACACCGGGACACCTATTTAGACTGAAATAAAAACTACAGCTAGTAACCAGACCCTCAAACGATGTACCCTGTGACCAAACCGAACGTGATTTTAAAAATGCACTGTCCTTCTGGTGGCACAGGTGGCGGTACTGACCAATCACTGCGCCAGGGAACTTGTCGAGAACCTGTTTGCTCAGCTTCTGGAGGGCCTCGACAAAGGCGTCTGCGTGTTGTTTCTTTGGATGTCCGTTGCTGGGGAGGTGCATCGCTGTTAGGCGCAAGGCCTCCTTGAAGCAGGTGAGGGCTTCGTGCAAGTCTTGCAAGCGGGCACTGGCTTGGAAGCTGCCCTGTTCCTTGGCATCTTGCATCCTGTTCTGCGCGACACGCTGCAGCTTTGCGACAGCAGCTGGGGTGGGCATGACACTGCTGGAAGGGTCGCTCATCATGGTGAGCATCTCCTGATATTTGGCCTCAGATTTGTCGATCTCCTCCTGAAACATCTCTTCTCGAGAGCGTTTGACTTTTGGGCCTGACAATCGGCGCTTCTTGGATGATGGACCTGGTTCTGCCTCGTTCTCCAACCCAAGTGCTAGTGCTGAGTCGTCACCTGTCACTGCCATTGCTTGCAGGCCCATGTCCATGTTTGCCGCTTCAGATCCTTGCGCAGTAGCAGCATTGCGACCTTAGAATGTGATATAGGGCAAGAGCGGCAGGTAACAGTGCAACGGTGTAGCAAACTGCCA